CCCCAAAACCCCAAAACCCCAAAACCCCAAAACCCCAAAACCCCGTCCCTTTTGCACATGCTTGAAAACTAACATTAATACTTATGAGCTTACGAATTTATTCGACAAACCAAGCGTGTTCAAGGGCTTCCTCTGCTGTTGGCCGACTTTCTCCCTCAAATTCAAACAGTTGATGTAACAGGTCTCTTCCATTGTCTGATATGTTTTCCAATGAACTTATTTGCTCTTTTATCATTTCTTGATCCCCTCTTTTTATTTTTGTGCCGGTCATGAGAGTGAAGAATACTAATCCAGCTCCCCAAATATCAACACTTTCGGAATAATACCCTGACTTGAACAATTCGGGTGCCTGAGAGTTTTGAGAAGCAATGTGAGTAAGATAATTGCATCTGAACTTACTTATTTCCTCCTTCCCCTCTTCATATGAAGTATTCCTATAAGACTTTGCTTTCTTTGCAATATTATAGTCCACCAATCCGATAGAAACATTATGCTCTTCATTTTCTCCTTCATGAGCTTTGATAAGAACATTATCAGGCTTAACATCTCTGTGGGCGTAATCTAGGCTATGTATGTACTTCAAGGCTTCAAATAATTCCTTCATTGCTTGCTTAGTTTGGTTTTCAGCCAAAGATCCATACTTGTTCACGAATTGGAGAACATTTGTGTCTATCTCAGAATATTCCATACATATGATGGAGTAATAATAATCATTATCTATAATAAGCTCGTAGACTTTTGGAATTCGGTGAGAGTCTAAACTTTTCATGATCTCATACTCATTTTGGGTATCTGGAATCCTTTCTTCTCCAATAGAGATCTTCAATATACATTTCTGTGTTGGGTCTGATACCTTCTCAGCTAGGAATACTGAGGCATAGGCTCCATTTCCCATTTTCTTGAGTAACTTATATCCTTTTGATAAAATAATGTTATATTTGAACCTTGGGTCATTAATTTCTAAGTCATTAGGTAGAGTTGCAGAGGACTCTGTAGTCTCAAATCCTTCAAGAGCCTTATCAATTGATGCGCTTTGCATGTACAACTGCTTCTTTTTCTCAGTTTTGGAGATGAGGTCCTTCGTTTCAGCTCTAAATTTCTGGAACTTATCTGATTTAGCTCCAAGTTTCTTACTTTCTTCCGGTGAAGGCTCCTTAGATTCCTCATGATTGTTGGCTTCTAGTTTTCCATCTTCATTCTTATTCGAGCTAGCAGCATCAGGGCATGTCTTCTTAGAATCCTCATCTATGCTTTCGCTTTTATGAGTAATCGTAGGAAGGCGGAGATCATTTATGTCTACTGGAGTATCCGAGTCTGAATCTGATTGTGACATTTATCTTTATCAATTATATTATTTTTGAAGGGGTTTTGGGGTTTTGGGGTTTTGGGGTTTTGGGGTTTTGGGG